TCTCTGTGGCAAGTCCGAGTCCGAGTCTGGGTCTTGGGCTGTTCAGAGGACATTTCGGACCGTCTTCTCGGAGCCCTCGTGGGCCGTTTCGGGGCCCTCGTGGACCGTCTGGGGCCCCGCTTGGGCCCCTCTTGGGCCCCTCCTGGGCCACCTGGGCCGCAAATTGGGGCACCCATGCCGCCCAGAGCCCTAGCCAAACAAGTTCTTTCTGGAGGGAAGGCGGCAGCAGGGGTCAAGGCTGGCGGGGCGAGGGGAACCGAACACACGGGACTTGCGTCATACTGCAACCGCCACAGCGCACCCGTCTCACTCGTCTGCCGGACGTGCTTCGCAGTCAGGCAGCGAAATCGAGGACGCCGGCGGTGCATCACTGGCCGCTCCCTAAGAGTCTGGCGCATGTGTGGGCGAAGAGATGCCCGGCGACTGTTTCATGCGTCCTGGTGCCTGTCGATGGGTGTCTCGGGGGGTCTGTTGATGGCAGTGTGCGTGTGGTCAAGGGGGAGGTCTATTTCGATGCGGGGGGTCCTTGGTGTTCAGTTTTCAGGAGGTATGTTGAGAAATTGCAGGCTTCTGGAGGAGCACTCTTGGAGCGTCTTGGGGGCTTCTTGGGTGGCCTCTAGGTGGTCTCTTGGAAGGAGTATTTTGGGCTTCGTATTGCAACCGCCACAGCACACCCGTCTCTCGGACATGCTTCGCAGTCTGGGCGCGACATCTGAGAGGGTGCGCCCGCCGCCGCTGGCCCACCAGGCTGGAGCAGTCTTCTTGGCCATACTGGGGCAGCTTCGGGGGCCAACTCGGAGCCATCCCTTGGGGCCTCTCCGGGGCATCCTGGGCTTCCTGGGCTTCGTTTAGACAGCTTGGGGCGATGTTGGTGCTGTCCTGCGCCTCTGGGTCCATCTTGGGAGCCTCTTGGGTGCATCCTGGGCCATCGTGTGCTCTCTTTCGGCCATCTTGCGCGGTCCGAACGGCCTTCTGCGGCACCTCTGAGGCCACCTGGGCCTTCCCAGGTCATCGCGGTGGCCCTGGTGGGCCGTCTTAAAATGATCTTGGGACATCCTAGGAGCACAGCGTGGGGACAGGGCAGAAACATTTGCATTTTGATTTTATTTTCTCGGGGGCGTCTCGGGGCCTTCTTAGGCCATCTAAGAAGCATCTTGGGGCCATCTTCGGCTGAACTCTGGAGGCCGGCCTCGAGATCTTTCTTGGTGCCGTCCTGAAGGCCTCTTTGGGCTCCCTCTTATCCGTCTGATGGCTTCCCTTTGGAAATCTTGGTGCAACCTGGATCGGCGAGCAGGCTGGCACCCTATCTTCTGTTGTTGTCGTTGTCGTTGTCGTTGTCGTTGTCATTGTCGTTGTCGTTGTCGTTGTCGTTGCCGTTGCCGTTGTCGTTGTCGTTGTTGTTGTTGTTGTTGTTGTTGTTGTTGAACACTATTACTTCTAAAGAATTATTATTGTTGGACCCCCTGGTGCACGCCCCCCGCCCAAAACCTAGGCCGCAGCTACATTTTCATCATTTTTCTGCGAAAGCTTCAGAAAAGTGGATTACCCCCGGATCCGGTTTTTTGTTGACGCTCGTTTTCCCTTGCAAAAAACAATAGAAAATGAAAATTCTTGTTCTTAGTTGATCAAATTTCAAGAATCCCTTGCAAAAAATAAGGTAAAGTGGACATTCGCGCTCGCAAGACGAAATCCTTCCAAAACCTTAGGTTTCGTAACGATTTTAACATAAAAACATCAAAAACCCAATGGTTTTTTAAGAAAAAATTGTCAAAATGTCCTTCCGCGCGCTCTTGCGGATTCATAGGAAACACACCACTTTTTAAACATTTCTGTCAAAAGGGTCTTTGCGTGCTACTTCTTCAGGTGCTTTGAACTTCTCCAACAACGGTTGCGCGCCTGCGAGGGCCACCATCCCTTGCAAAAAATGAGACGAAGTGCACATGCGCGCGGCCGCCGCGCGCGCATGTCGAAATCCTGCCAAACACAATGGGTTTTCAATAATTTCAAGATGCGATGTTCAGAAAACATATGAAAACGCACTACTTTCTCATCCGAAAAATCTCGAAATCCATTCGCGGTCTCTTGATGAATCTTTAAAACCCAAGATGGCCCCAACAGGCGCGCAAGATGGCCCCAAGAGGCGTCCATGAGGCCCAAAGAGGCGCCCAAGATGGTCCCAAGAGGCTTCAAGAGGACTCCAAGAGGCCCCCAAGAGGTTCCAGAGAGGCTCCAAGGTGGCTCCAAGAGACCCCCAAGATGGCCCCAGGAGGCGTTCTAGAGGCCCCAAGAGTCCGCCGTGAGGGTCCAATAAGCCCCCAAGAGGCCCCAAGATGGTTCCAAGGAGCCCCCCAAAGGCTCTCAAGTGGACCCCAAACCGCGCCAGGAGGCTTCCCCCCTTCCCCAAGAGGACCCCAAGCGGCCCCAGGAAGGCCCCCGACTGCTGACGCACATATCCGTAGCCATCTCGGATCAAGGTATCGCCTGTGTTCTTGGATCATGGCTTTGACGGCGAAAGACCTTCACGAGCAGTATGGCCCTGAGCTGTCGCGGCCTCCCTTGGCCGACTGCGAGAGTGCGTATTATTTGCATCAGGCGCTCCGGGCAAAGGGTATCAATGCTAGTCACCAGGCGTGCAAGACTTGGTGGGCCAAGTATCGGGTTGTGACTGGCACGGTCAGTATTTCTAGCGCCAAGGAGCTGGAGGAGCAGCACGGCTCTGCCATCCGCCACCTGGGCATTGAGTATAATACCGCTTTCAAATTATGCCGGGCGCTCCGTGTACCGTGTACCACATCATATGTAACAGATGTGATCAACCTCTGTGGGTGTGTACCCCACGCCAGTGTAGTAGCCAGGGTCGTCCGCACGCCACGAAGTGAAGTGTCCCAACGTCATAGGGCGGGAAGCTGGGTGTGGGTGGTCTCGAAGAGTCGTTTGGATATTTGGTAGAGCTTGAACGGCCCCCCCACGAAGTGGGGGTATTGGCTGGTGTCGCAAGAAAACCCTGGCACTGGGGAGAACACTGAGCGTTCGGGTAAAATGATTGTTGTTGTTGTTGTTGTTGTTGTTGTTGTTGTTGTTGTTGTTGTTGTTGTTGTTGTTGCTGTGTGTGTTGTTGTTGTTGTTGTTGTTGTTGTTGTTGTTGTTGTTGTTGAACATTATTACTTCTAAAGAATAATTATTGTTGGGACCCCTGGTGCACGGCCCCCTCGCCGCGCCTAGGCCGCAGCCATGTTTCATCATTTTCGTGAGGAAGTCTCCGGCAAAACGGGTTGGTCCGGATCCGGTTGTTTTGTTACCCCCCCGCTTTCCCTTGCAAAAAACAATTTAAAATGACATTTCTTGTTCTAACATAACCAAACTTCAAGAATCCCTTGCAAAAAATAAGGTAAAGTGGACATTCGCGCGCGCAAGACGAAATCCTTCCAAAACCTTAGTGTTCGTAACGATTTTAACATAAAAACATCAAAAAACCAATGGTTTTTCAAAAAAAAGTGTCAACATTTCATCCCGCGCGCTCTTGCGGATTTGTAGGAAACCCAACACTTTTTAAACATTTCTGTCAAACGGGCTTTTGCGAACAACTTTTTCACGTGCTTCGAACTTCTCCAACAACGGTTGCGCACCTGCCAGGGCCATCATCCCTGTCAAATAATACCATGCGTCAAATCATCCCTTCCTATTCTAGCGTCAGGAACACGTTACCACCAAAAACCAGTACAGGTGTCCAGTGTTGGAACAGGGGGAAAAGTCGTATACTAAGCTAGCGTCCAGAAAATGTTACCACAACAAGTCACTGTACCCATGCGCCAGTGTAGTAGCCACGGTCGTCCGCAGGCCACGAAGTGAAGTGTCCGAACGTCATAGGGCGGGAAGCTGGGTGTGGGTGGTGGCGAAGAGTCGTTTGGAAATGTGGTAGAGCTTGAACCGGCCCCCCCACAAAGTGGGGGTATTGGCGGGCGTCGTATGAAAACCCTGGCACTGGTGAGAACGGAGTGTCCCCACGTGCTAGTAATTGTTGTTGTTGTTGTTGTTGTTGTTGTTGTTGTTGTTGTTGAACTCTCTGTTTCTAATGATTACTGATTGTTGATCGCCCCTTCGGTGCCCATGGTGTTTTTTTCACAGAAGGTGCTCCCTGGGATTGTACCTAGTTTTTACAAAAAAGTCGTGGGCCTCAGACTGCGTCACGGGCCCCCGAGCTGCAACAACAACGGCTCCCGCTTGCTCAATTCATTTCAAAATCGCGTTCCCGCGCAGAGTTTCCTCGTAATGTGTATAGGAATCCCACTATCGCGTGGCGCTTCCTCGCAATGTAGTGCGGCGCCGTGTTCCCAACACTCAGGGATCTCGCTCTCGCTTTGACCTTCCTCACGATTTACTTGGGAATCGCGCTATCGCTAGAAACTTCTTCGCGATTGATGATGGATTGATGCTTCAGCGACCCGCCCGCTCGACCCGGCACCTGGCCATCGGGGCCCGCCCGCCCGACCTGCCCGTTAGGGTCCGCTCGCCCGACCCGCCTGTTTGGTTGTGCCGCTTACATTTTTGCCCCTAACCCCCCTCCTGTAAATCTCTCCCGTGCTTCATGCTTCTCACAACCCCTTGTCTCTTCCCTCCTCCTTTCCGTCCCTGTTTCAGGGGTTGCGCCAAACACGTGCCAGGCAAGCAAGACGAATCCCCAAGAGGGGTACTATCGAAGACGAAGAGGGCGGGTACCAAGGGTTTGTGATTGTTCAATGACACGCGAGCCTATAAGAACGAAGAGTCTTTTTTTTTGTGGGGGGGTCAGCGCGGGCTCCCCTAGTACTGGCAGGACTGGAAAGACGGGACGGAAGGAACCAGCAGGCATAACACAGACAGATACGCAGCAGTCTGGCAGGAAACCTCGCAGCCTTTCGTCCCCCCCAAGGGTGGCCAGCGGATCTAAGCTGGAGCAGTCCTGGGACATTCTCTGCTCCGGACAGCTCGATTTCGTTTTTTCCGAGAACAGCGCATCCGGCATGATACACGTGGCTCTGTCCGCGAAGGAGGCTCCATTTACCCAGACCGAGCGGGTGATGGTTCAGGTCGCCCAGCCGTTGCTCAGGTCGGATGCGTATTGGAACGTAGACCCCTCGCTGGTGGCTCTGGCGCAGGCTGGGCAGCCACCAGTTAGATTCGAAGTTGAGGCACAATTCCAGCCTACGAGTGGGTCAGGCCTCCGTCCGGATTCTCTGGAGTCCAAAGGCGTCCAAAGTCTGGACGTCTTGCACTTCCACGGAGCCAGCTTCCAGAAGGTTGCCGACATTAGTGAGTATACGATTGGAGAGGCGGCGGGCAGCCTTGCTTGTGCGGATTCTGTTGGAGAGGAGTACACAGAGGCCTTGAGGGACATATCTTTGTATGGTGACGACCCAGGGGCCGGATGTTACGCCGGCTTCGATTTGATGCTATGCGGCAAAATGAGTTCGACACGCTTGCGGGCTTTGTGCCCTAACATGTGTGCCTGCTACGATGGATTTCTCAGCTGGTCGGGATTATTCGGCACGTCAGCATTCGGCTGCCCCACCGAGTGCCTTAAGTATCCAGCAGGGACCATAGACAGGCTCTCAGGCGATCGGTTTCCTTGCGAGGACACAGGGCCAGGAAATTTCAGCGCGGTGACGGGGTACTTGCCCAATCTCTATCATTATTGGAACAGAGCTCTTGACAGTCACCCAGAGCAGATTAATCTAAGCTTTCGGGATTTCTACACGCACTACGTCGGTGGCCTGCAGGAATATGTTTCCAGTGACCCTAGTATGAGAGAGGGCGTGCCCAACAGCATAGGGATTCTGTTTACCTTCAGACGGGACTTAGCCAGTCTGTTGGACTTCAACGCCTTAGTCAGGCACGTTGTCGGCGGTGCGTTCTTCGAGGAGCTGGCTGCGGGCAACTGGACCATCTTCCCAGGCGTCCCGCACCCCAGCGGCTTGACCGGCTGCGACTTTCTTGCGTCGGCCGAGATCGCATTCTTGATCCGAGGGCTTGCGCCTCTGTGCCGCCGAACCCCCGGGCCGAGCCATCTGTTGATCGGCCGCGACTCTCCAGGGAGGAAGTCAGTGCGGGCGGGCAGGCTTTCAGAAGGCGGCGGGGCGTCTCAGAAGCCCTCTCGACTTCTGAGGAACCAGCTGTGGCTCCGGGGACAGGCTTGCAAGGCGTCTCGGACAGCGCGATGGCCCCCCTGAGAAGGCCTGCCCCCTCGCACTTCCCCCCTGGGCTCGCCGCCGAAGTGAGGCTGTCTCTGGGCAGCGTTCGGTCCCTCTTGGAGCCTCGTGGGGTCATCCTGGGGCCTCCTGGGGTTATCGTGGGGCCTCCGGCTAGCTTCCTGCTTTGGGGGCATCCTGGTGCCCCTCGCACATGGGGCGGGCAGATCAACGTGGACATGTGCGCAGTGGGGAAGATCGCCTCCATCCGGCCATGGTGCCCTCGCGTGTGTGGCTGCTCACAGGGCATGCCCGAGTGTCCGGGCGCTTGCGAGTAGCCCCCCTTCTCCCCCTTCCTTGCCTTTCCTCCCGCCAGGAAGGGGGAGGGGGGGGGGAAGGAGGTGGAGTGGCAGAGAGAAGGCGAGGAGAGGGAAGAGGAGCGAGGGGGAGGAGGAGGAGAAGGAGGAGGAGGAGGAGGAGGAGGAGGAGGAGGAGGAGGCGCAGGAGGAGGAGGGGGAGGTGGAGGTGGAGAAGGATGAGAAGATGTAGGGGGTGGTGGAAGAGAAGCGAGAGAAGGGGAGGGAGGAAGGAGGAGGACGGCGAGGGGGAGGAGGAGGAGGAGGAGGAGGATGATCAGGGTGGACGCGAGGCGTGAAGGGAGGAGAGACGAGATGGAGTTGGAGGAGCAAAGAGAGGTCCCCCTCCTCCGCCTTCCTTTTTCCTCTGCCCCCTTCACCTCTTCCCTTCCTCCCTCTTCTTCTCCCACTCCCTCTATCTCTCTCTCCTTCCCATCCCATCCTTTCTCCCCATTCGTGTCTATTTACCTAACATCGAAGACTGATAGGTTTCTAATGGTGTAAAAAGAGAGCAGCACATTACTCCACAGGGGGGTCTGGGCAGCCGTTGGGGAGCCGTTGGGGGCCGTTGGGGGGCCGTTGGGGTTTGCCGGGGGGGATCGTTTTTCGCATACAGTCACACACTTCGTGCTTTTCGATTTCCCAGAACTCCATTCCCGGGCCACATTCTGAATGCCCGGAGCCAACTGTACGCCACTTCGTGCTCTTCGACTTCCCAGAACTCCATTCCCGGGCCACATTTTGGATGCCCGGAGCCAACTGTAGGCCACTTCGTGCTCTTCGACTTCCCAGAACTCCATTCCCGGGCCACATTTTGGATGCCCGGAGCCAACTGTAGGCCACTTCGTGCTCTTCGAGTTCCCAGAACTCCATTCCCGGGCCACATTTTGGATGCCCGGAGCCAACTGTAGGCCACTTCGTGATCTTCGAGTTCCCAGAATTCCATTCCTGGGCATGATTTTGAATGCCCGGAGCCAACTGTAGGCCACTTCGTGTTCTTCGAGTTCCCAGAACTCCATTCCCGGGCCACATTTTGAATGCTGAGGCAGGCTGATGCTGAGGCTGAGGCAGGCTGAGGCTGAGGCAGGCTGAGGCTGAAGGCAGACTGAGGCTGAGGCTGAAGCAGGCTGAGGCTGAGGCTGAGGCAGGCAGGCTGAGGCTGAGGCAGGCTGATGCTGAGGCAGGCTGAGGCTGAGGCTGAGGCTGATGCAGGCTGAGGCTGAGGCAGGCTGAGGCTGAGGCCAAGGCTGAAGGCAGACTGAGGCTTTGGCTGAAGCAGGCTGAGGCTGAGGCTGAGGCTGAGGCTGAGGCTGAGGCTGAGCTGAGGCAGGCTGAGGCTGAGGCTGAGGCTGATGCAGGCTGAGGCTGAGGCAGGCTGAGGCTGAGGCCGAGGCTGAAGGCAGACTGAGGCTGAGGCTGAAGCAGGCTGAGGCTGAGGCTGAGGCAGGCTGAGGCTGAGGCTGAGGCTGAGGCTGAGGCTGAGGCTGAGGCTGAGGCTGAGGCTGAGGCTGAGGCTGATGCTGAGGCAGGCTGAGGCTGAGGCTGATGCAGGCTGAGGCTGAGGCAGGCTGAGGCTGAGGCCGAGGCTGAAGGCAGACTGAGGCTGAGGCTGAAGCAGGCTGAGGCTGAGGCTGAGAGGCAGGCTGAGGCTGAGGCTGAGGCAGGCTGATGCTGAGGCAGGCTGAGGCTGAGGCTGAGGCTGAGGCTGATGCAGGCTGAGGCTGAGGCAGGCTGAGGCGGAGGCCGAGGCTGAAGGCAGACTGAGGCTGAGGCTGAAGCAGGCTGAGGCTGAGGCTGAGCTGAGGCTGAGGCAGGCTGAGGAGGCTGAGCAGGCTGAGGCTGAGGCTGGCTGAAGGCAGACTGAGGCTGAGGCTGAAGCAGGCTGAGGCTGAGGCTGAGGCAGGCTGAGGCTGAGGCTGAGGCAGGCTGCTGAGGCTGAGGCTGAGGCTGAGGCTGATGCAGGCTGAGGCTGAGGCAGGCTGAGGCTGAGGCGGAGGCTGAAGGCAGACTGAGGCTGAGGCTGAAGCAGGCTGAGGCTGAGGCTGAGGCTGAGGCTGAGGCTGAGGCTGAGGCAGGCTGAGGCTGAGGCTGAGGCTGAGGCTGAGGCTGAGGCAGACTGAGGCTGAGGCTGAAGCAGGCTGAGGCTGAGGCTGAGGCAGGCTGAGGCTGAGGCTGAGGCTGAGGCTGAGGCTGAGGCTGATGCTGACTGAGGCTGAGGCTGAGGCTGAGCAGCTGAGGCTGAGGCTGAGGCCGAGGCTGAGGCAGACTGAGGCTGAGGCTGAAGCAGGCTGAGGCTGAGGCTGAGGCAGGCTGAGGCTGAGGCTGAGGCAGGCTGATGCTGAGGCAGGCTGAGGCTGAGGCTGAGGCTGATGCAGGCTGAGGCTGAGGCAGGCTGAGGCTGAGGCCGAGGCTGAAGGCAGACTGAGGCTGAGGCTGAGGCAGGCTGAGGCTGAGGCAGGCTGAGGCTGAGGCAGGCTGAGGCTGAGGCTGAGGCTGATGCAGGCTGAGGCTGAGGCAGGCTGAGGCTGAGGCCGAGGCTGAAGGCAGACTGAGGCTGAGGCTGAAGCAGGCTGAGGCTGAGGCTGAGGCAGGCTGAGGCTGAGGCAGGCTGAGGCTGAGGCTGAGGCAGGCTGAGGCTGAGGCTGTGACTGCGACTGCCGTTGCCACTGCGACTGTCATCGCGAATGCGACTACGACTGCGAGAACAGCAGAATTCTACAACTGGATTCTCATCCGAATCTTAAGGGGAATGCTTCCAGATGTGCTCCTACACATCGATGTTAGGTTGCTTTGCCGGGATAATGTCATTTTGCCACCTAGCCAGCTGATAGGGGCCCCAATCGCACAGCTACATCCCACGTGCAACCAGAAGTGCAAAGTCGACGTTTTTGCTTTGAGCATGGACGCTTTGGCCTCGACGTTACAACATGTGTGGCGGGATGCATCCCACGCCAAAGGGGGCGGAATGTCGCTCTCTTCACGGCGCCGCGCGTACAATTCCTGAGGACAGAGCCTCCGCTTGGGCGCGGCGACAATGTTCGCTCGGCAATTTGTCGACGCGCGAGCGGGTGGAAATGATTCTCTCGCTTCGGCGACGCACAGAGCTCGTCTGAGAGTGGCGCTCCCGCTCCAGCGCGGTGGACATTCTTCACCCGCCAAGTTTTCGGGGCCAGCGCGAGCGTGCGTCTCGGCGTCCTAGCCGCAGCTCCTCGCACATGTCGCTTGGAAGTGGCGTCCTCGCGTAGGCGTGACGCATGTCCCGCCCGCCAAAGCGCATGAAAGCGACAGCGGCAGCGGGGCCGCGCGAGAGCGGGCGAAATGCTGTCCTCGCCCAATCGCCCTGCAGTCTGTGCTTCGGCGCAACGATTGCTTCGTCTTTGCCGCGCTCATCGGAAATTCTTTACGCTTCGCGTGTCCCCTACCAGCCCATCTCACAACAGCAACTCTTGCGAAGCATGCCGACAGTCGTGTTTTTCAGGCGTGTGTCCGCTTGCCCCCGCATATCTCCCCTGTTCCTCCTTCCTCCCGTCTCCTTGTACATCCTCCTTGTGGTGGGAGCGGGAGAAGGACGAGGCGGAGGAGGAGGGAGAGAAAGCGCTCCTCGTGGTTTGAGTCGTTTGGGGTTTCTCGTCCTGGTGTGAGTCGTTCGGGCCCTTCTTCCTGGTGTGAGTCGTTCGGGCTCTTCGTGGTGTGAGTCGTTCGGGCTCTTCGTCCTGGTGTGAGTCGTTCGGGCTTCTCGTGGTGTGAGTTGTTCGGGCCCCTCGTCCTGGTGTGAGTCGTTCGGGCCCCTCCTCCTGGTGTGACTCGTTCGGGCTCCTCGTGGTGTGAGTCGTTCGGGGCCCTCGTTGTGGTGTGAGTCGTTCGGGCTCTTCGTGGTGTGAGTCGTTCGGGCCCCTCGTCCTGGTGTGAGTCGTTCGGGCTCCTCGTGGGGCCTCTTGGGGGCCTCTTGGAGGCTCTTGGGGCCTCTTGGGGGCCTCTTGGGGGCCTCTTGGGGGCCTCTTGGGGGCCTCTTGGGGCGTCTTGGGGCCTCTTGGGGGCCTCTTGGGGGCCTCTTGGGGGCCTCTTGGGGCCTCTTGGGGGCTTCTTGGGGGCCTCTTGGAGGCCTCTTGGGAGCCTCCTGGGGGCCTCTTGGGGCCAGCTTGGGGCCTCTTGCGACCTCCTCAGAAGCGCCAATGAGCGCTGCCCCCTGAGAAGGACAAAATGAACCCAAAACCTTCGTAAACTCAATGGTTTTGCTATGAAGGAAGAGGCGCGCTGCCCCCTCAGAGGGCCAAAATGGGGCCGAAACCGTAGTAAAATCAATGATCTTCGCTTCGAAGAAGAGGAGAGGGCTCTAACTTCCCCCCCCCCGTCGGGGCCAGAATCCTCGTGAGGGGTGTCGTTTTTTTAGCCCTCCCAGGAGTCAAAATTGACCCCCCTGACGACCCGCGGCCCCCCCTCTCCAGGCCCAGGGGGAGGGGGTAGGGGGAGGGGTAAACCCCTCCCCGAAGGGGAAGAAGGGGGGTTGAGGACAGAGAGAGCTCGCTAAACCACTCACGCCCAAAGGGCTGGTGGGATTTACCTGCCCAAGAAGTTGTGCATTGATTCTGTCACCGCAGCGCCGCGTGAGGATTTTCTGCGGTTCTGTCCCCGCCCCTGCGCGGCCCGCGAAGTTTCTCCGTCGCCAAGCCATCGGCCCGGGATCCCGATCACCATACGTATAGGAACGCGTTGTTCCCCCCAACTATCCTGTGGTGTTGGGTCCTCGTTTTGAAGAGGGAGCGCCCCACGTCACTCCTTCCCTCTGCCCTCCTCCCTCCTCCTCTCACGGCATCGTCGTCGTCATCAGCAGCATCACCATCGTCATCATCAACGTCCTCATAGTCTCTACCATGCCCTGGCCTCGGGCCATCTCAAAACACCACTCACACGATTCGTGTCCCTATCTGGAGCTCCACCGAAGGCTCCAGCGAGAGGGTCCACATGGCGGCCTCAGGCGATGTCGGCACACCCCTCACACGCTTCGCGGCCCCATA